TTATGCTTGAAATCTGCTGAAGGGTGTGGGATTTGGGGTCTGAGGTCCAGGGTTTGAGCTTGATCAAGTGTCCTGATTGGCCCTGGGGCCGAGGGGTTTCCTGGGACACTGGACTTTCAACGCTAAACCCAGAAAAGTCCTGGGCCAATCCAGATGAGGGGGGCGCTCTCTGTACCCCATTCTGTCAGGGTCCTCCTCAAACTCTCTGTCTCTCCTTTTCCACACGTACAGCACAGAGATACTGGTAAGACCCGCTGTGCTTACTTCACACACTGGTGGGACCCCAAAGAGCTAACGTGTGTTTCCTGCAGCACCTTGAACCCCTCTCTGGTCATAGCACATCCACTGCCAGACAGGCGTCTGCAGGCCTCTCCTCCCTCTCAGTCTGAGCCCTCTGGGGGTGAGACCTCCATATTCATCTCTGAACCCCCCCAGGCCTTGGCCAGTGCTCCGCAAAGAGAAGATGCTCGGGAAAGCTGTGCTACATGGAAAGTGCTCTGCAAAATCAAAGCACAGAGTGTTCTCGTTGGTTGGTTGACACTCTCGTTTTCTGCCCGCCCCTGGTTAGCCCTGGGAGAAAAGTCCTCTATGGGTTCAGGAGGACACGGGCGGCAAGGTGGGGACAGGGAACCAGACAGAAGGTGAATGGGCAGCACGAGAAGCCAGGAGGGCCCCATGGAGAGATGAGGAAACCAGTCCCCACCACAGGGAGGAGAAGGACAGGAGCTGGGATCTTAATAAGCAGGCCACTCCATCTTCTGGCCTCTGGGTCTCCTTGGCTGCCTGCCCCCCTGACTTTCCCAAGGCTGGTGATCCCTCAGGAGGACCCCTGGGTGGGGGGGAGGGAATGCCTTCCCTGGGGTCGCCCAGATCTTAGTACCCTGAGCTGCCCTCTTGGCTCAGACACGGGCAGAATGATAGACACCTTGGGGGCCAAATCTCTGCAATCCATCTCCTCCTCGCCCCTTGCCCCTCCACACCCCAGCCGTCTGCTTCTCTGCCTCTAGGATCCTAGAGACAGAGGGTCCTGGCTCTGCTTGATGCCCCGGGGTCCCAGCCTCCGTCCTAGCCCTCCAAGCTCCCATCTCAGCTGACTCCCCCGGTGAGCAAACCCTGTGGCTCCGGGACCATTTGGATCCTGCTGGGGCTCGGTGGGGAGAAGCATGACCCGGAGGCAGCCCCGATTCAGGAAAGCCCCTCTCCAGCCCTTGCCAGCCCGTACTGAGCCTCCATCCCATGTATCCTCCCAATCTCTGTGGATCTTATTTCATTCACTTGCGGGCATAACCTTCCTGGGGTCCAGGAGTGCTGGGGGCACAGATACAGCCCCCATGACCAGAGAATCCTAGAACTCTGAGTAGAAGACACTCCAAAGGCAAACCCCAAAGGTAGATTAGATAATATTGTTTGCAATTCATGGTCAGCTCGACTCAGAGAGGGCAAGTGACCTAGTAAAGGAACGCTCAGCTGCTCCTCAGTCACATACCTGGACTCTCCTTTTTCCGTCTGGTTGACTTCTTCTCTGTCTCATGAGCAGTGCTCCCGAGGACCTCATAATCCTCACCTGGGCCTCCCGTGGTGTCCACCAGGCCCGGGCTGCTGGCCCCCATCTCCCCAGAGCCCCGAGCTGGGCCCAGGTTGAGCCTGCGCTGGGCCTCGGAGACGGGGAAGTTCCAGTCGGGGGGCTGTGGGAAAGCGGGGTGCTGCTCAGTGAAGAGGCGCTCCTCCCGGGGAAGGCTGTGTGGGGTGGCTGCCAGGCAGGAGGCCGAGAAGTCGGGGTACGCTGCCGCCGCTGTCGCCGGGAAGTCTGGTTTCTGGTGGAAGGAGAACGGTGTTGGCGGGTAGTGGGGCAGCCCTGAACCCCCAGTGCCTTCAGCGTGGGGATTTCGAAGGCAGCCCCAGCCCGGGGCCGGGGGGTGAGGGCTCCTCATGCAGCTGCTGGCCACCGGATCCATCTGCCGTCTCCTGCTGCGCGCGCCTCAGTCTTTTCAAAGTTTGGATTCTGACACTTTGTTTATATTCAGATTTTTTTTAAATGCAAAAAAAAAAAAAAAAGGTAAATAAATAAATAAATAAGAGGGGGAAATGTTCAGCAGAAAATTCACCCCAGGAACCAAAACAAAAACCAAAACTAAAGTCTCCTTCAAGTACGCACACGTGTGGCCAGCTGCACGGATATACGTACACACACCTATGTCAGACTTCACTCCTGGCTTCCTGCCTGTCCCCCGCCCCCGACACACCAGCCTGCCTATTGGGGTCCCCTGGACGTGTATTTGTCGCCGATGACACTAGACATTTTCACTGTCGCCGCCCAGACGCGCCAGCGGACGAGAGCTTGTGTTGGACCCGGCGGCGAATGCCTGCAGAGGGCTGGCCCGGGGCTGTGAGACACACTTTTAAATCCTGCGGTGGGGAGAGAGTGACAAATTTCTGAAGTGAAACGTGAGAGAGGAGAGGGAGGGGTTAACCAGCACACACACGGTCCCCTCCAACCAAAACCCGAGCAGGCAACTATTAATCATCAGAAACCTTATATGCACATCTAATGGGATTTGCAGATGGAGACTTTTAAAGAAACATGGTCTGTATTTCTTTTTTTTTAATTTTAAGGAGAGAGAGCAGTGCACACACACCGCTTCTTTAATGTGCCTCCTGTACGCTATGAAGTTATTTTATTGCACTGTTAACAAAATTCCCCAAGTCTTGGATTTGGAAAAAGCCTTAAGTCAGATCCAGGATCCGTCAAGTGCCAAATTCCAGGGAGTGAAGCGGGGAATAAGTGCAAGAGACAAGTTTGCTGATTGCATTTGATTTAAAGGCCCTTCTACTGCTGCCTGCAAAGAGGAAGGTGGATTAAAAGAAATCTTTTTTTTTTTTTTTTTTTTGCAAGTCTCAGCGGCCCACTAGGGTCTGTAGCATAAAGAAAGACACACTCCAGAAAAAAATTATTTCTCTCCACCCAAAGCGACATTCTCACTTTCTCAGTAACTTAAAAAAACAATCAGATTCTTCCTTCCGTTCTTTAACCCCGACTTACATGCCAATTAGCCACACTCTTCTCTAGGGGGATTTCAAGTCGTTTTTCTCCCCGGCAAAGGGAAGCCTCTTAGATAAGGTTCTTGAAGTTTCTCCAGGCCCCCTCACCTCCACCCACCTGCTTCCCCTACCCCAGCCCCCGAGGCCGCGGCTTCTGTGAAATCTGGGGCGTGGAAATAGGGATCAGGGGGATTCTCGTGCCCAAAGGAGTTCTCTTTGGCAAACGATCACATGGTCTTCCAGGCCAGTGCCTGTCACAGAAGGGCCAACTGCCATTTCAATCGGTCCATCAGTCTACTCGATCCCCACGCCCTGCTGGTCTCTCATGAGGGTTAATATAATTTCTGGGAGGATGACATTCCAAGCACACGGGCCAGAGCTCCCCTCCCACTGAATCTTTCCACGGCCCAGAGCCACGGGATCAGGGCCGAAATGGGCACGGACATAACTGTGTGCTGGCTAGTTCCAAAGACGCCAGGAGGGCCCACGGGCCTCAGGCCTGCAGCCTGGAGGCCGCACACGCACTCTCCATGAAACTGGCATCGGGCTTCTGGAACGGGCAGGGTGTTGGAGGCCAGGAGAGGAGACGGCATCACTGCCTAGAACCAGACTCATCTCTCTGCTTTGCTTGGGACTTAGCTGTCACACACATTTCTCCTCTGGATCTCATGACTCTCTTATTATGGGTAAATTAAGAATTATGTTCTATATTTTACAAATGAAAATGAGGCTTAGCTCAGAAGGACGCAGCTAAGAGAAGGCAGAACGAGGAGTCGCCCTCAGGCATCCCCTCTGGGGCAGCTTGACACAGAGGAAGGAGCGTGGACTGTGGGTTCGACAGGTGCGGGTTCGAATCCTGCCTCTGCCACTTCCCAGCTCCGTGCCCTGAGACACGTCACCCCATCTCTCTGAGCTTCTGTTTCCTCCTCTGGGATGATAGTCCTCGCTGACATTCGCCCAGTGACCTCAGCACCTCACACACATTCCCCCAAGGGATCCCCACAAAAGCACTGTGAGGCAGGCGCTTTTCTCATCAGCCCCGTGTTTCCGAAGAGGACTCGGAAGCACAGACAGGCTGGGTAACCTGCCCAGGGACACACAGCCACGAGGTGGAGGACCCAGGATTCTAAACCCCGAACAGCCTGGCCCCGCTGCATCGGAGTGCCCACCCCACAAACATCTGAGCATCTAAAGGAGTCATTTCTGGGACGTGGAGTTCCGAGTGGGTGACAGATAAACACGGTCCCTTCCTCGCCTATCTCGTTCTCCTTAACTCAAGGATTCCCAAAAGAGACTGCGAGGGAGGAGCGCTGAGGAAATTCTACTGCACAGCCTCGTGCTGTCCCTCGAGGGGCTCCAGGCTGTGGGAGCTCTAGAAGAATCCACAGGAGGCTGGGAGGAAGCCCTGGCTTGTCAGCTTCCCCAGGAAAACCTTCCCAGGGGGCCTGGCCCTGCGGCTGTAACCGGACTCCTGCTCTGGCCTCCTCTGCAGCTGGCCTGGGGGAGCCCGGCCGCGGGGAGGCCCGGCTTGGGGAGGCCCAGCCGCGGCCCCTGGAAGGGGTGGGCCGAGGGGTCAGGGGGGCAGTGAGAGGGGCGCGGCAGGGGTGCGGTGCGCTCCTCTGGGCCCGGCACCCCCCTGCACCCCCCTGCACCCCCCCGCGCCTGCGCAGCTGCCCGCGTCTGTCAGCCGCCCCGCGGGGCGCGGCCGGGGGCCCGCTGGCCTCTACATCTTCCTGACAGGCCCCTCTTCGGAGGCCAGGAAAAAACAACAGTCCCTCCCCTCACGGCAGCCCATTTGTTAGCTGAAGGCCGGGCACCAGCACCTTTAACCTCCTCAAAGTCAGCATTTCCCCCTCCAGGCCCCGCAGGCCCCCAGACAGAGATGGATGGAAGTGGCTATTTGTGGAAAAAAAGCCCTGAGGCTGCACGGCCAAGGGGAGCGGGGTTTTCAGGAAGGGAGGGAACCCCGCTTCTGGTTGTTGTTGGGGTGGCAGGAGGAGGAAGAGGAAAAGCGTGCGTCAGGAGGATGGTCGGCCGGGCCACACCTGAGCCACCCCAAGGAACTTTTGGAATTTCCCCCATTGTGTGCGACAAGCAGGCTTGTCCTTGGCGCCATGGACCTGCTTCCGGTGCGTGCTAGGCCACCCCACCCAGGTGTCCGAGGGGAGCCTGGGGCCTGGGGGCACGAGGAGGGGCCTGTGGTCTCAGGCAAGTCACATCCCTCTTGTGAGCCTCAGTTTCCTCACTGGCAAGAGGGAGAGGACAGTTCCAGCCTTGTGTGGCTGTTGTGGGGATAAATGAACGGATGCTGTGACCAGAGCTGGCTGACAGAAACGGTGGCGCACGTGAGGATCATTATGCCTTCTCTTTCCTTACTCTGCTGGAACACTGAGCAGGTCACGTCTCCTTGGAGGATGAAGACGGCCCAGCCTAGCCCCTCAATACCACCTTCTTCTTCTCCTCCTCCTTTTCCTCCTCCTCCTTCTTATTTTTAGATTTATTTTATTTATTTTGAGAGATAGAAAGAGAGCAGGGGGAGGGGCAGAGGAAGAGGGAGAAAAGTCCCCAAGCAGACTCCCCACTGAGCCTGGAGCCCAACGCAGGGCACCTGAGATCATGACCAGAGGCTCAACTGACTGGGCCACTCAGGCACCCCTCAATACCTTTTTCTATGGCAACACAACGGAGGGTCATGATCTTGGCCTTGGGAACCAGGAGAGTCTGGGTTCAAATCCCAGCTCAGCCGTAAATAAGCAGAATGGCTTTGAGCAACTCACTTTATCACTTGAGCCTCAGTCTCTTCATCTGTAAAGTGGGAATCAACTTTTCCTTCCTTCTCCGTTAAGTTGATGAGAGAAGTGTTTGAGGTGACCTAGGAAAGCTCTTGCCATTGTCTGGCTTACAGTTTTTAGTGGTAGTATCTGGATCATAATGATGTTGACAATGATGACCCTGTGGTTATTGTCTTAAAGACAACTCCAGAAGACCCTGGGAAATATTTGTACGCCACCCCAGGGGACAAGATGAAGCCATTAGCCTTCACTCACATAGTAGAACATGTATATTGGACAAGGCAGCTGTTCCTGAGCAAGACCTCGAGGGATGGGACAGGAGACAGACAAGTTCTGAATATGGCAGCAATCATTCTGAATAAGGATGTTTACTCCCAGGCCTGGGATTTATCTGGAATGTAGATGCCCTTTGCTTCTCAGAAGGCTTTTTTAAAAAGATTTTATTTATTTTATTTGAGAGAGAGTGCATGCGAGTGGGGTGGAAGAGCAGAGGGAGGGGAAGAGAGAGAATCTGAAGCAGACTCCCCGCTGAGCGCAGAGCCAACCCCGAGATCATGACCTGAGCTCAAGAGGCAGACGCTTAACCGACTGGGCCAGCCAGGCGCCCCGCTTCTCAGAAGGTTTGAGACAGCACGGTTACCACTGCCCTATGGGACCTTTGTGAGACTCGGATAATAGGATGGTCGGGAGAGAAGTGAATAAAGCACAGAGTACAGTTCTCACGACTGTCACAGATGCCCCCGTGAAGCCTGCCAGGTGGGACCAAGGCATCCCCCCCTGGGGAACCAACGATGGGGCCTTTCCCTACGTCCCCGATAACACTGAGTTTAATAGAGCCAGCTACTTCAGATGAGAGTTTTCTCTTGTGTGCATATCCTTTCAACCTGTGGTGCTGCCCGTCACTTGTCTGCTACCAGGAATGTGGGTGGAGGACTGGAAAACACAATAGTACCCACAGCGGCCTGTATCGGAGCCCTGGCTCTTGGTGACCTCAGTTTCCCCAACTGAAAAGTGGCAGCTCAGCGAATAGAGGATGTACAGGAGGACATTCAGGAGGTGCTCAGGAAACAGACCCCTTTCTGAAGGAGTCTGGGGGCCTGTTGACTTGTACAGGTGTAGGACGGGGCTCCCGGCAGGGAGTAGAGTCAGCTTTATCAGAATAACAGGAGGGGAAACGCACGGAGACTGAGGTGGCAGTCCAGCCAGGCATGGCCACTCCTCCAAGTCATCAGGGGCCCATGCGCCGTCACTCTTTCTGCCTCCTGCCCCCACTGGCCCCCTCATCCAGCTGGAGGTTCACGCTCAGCTGTCACGTTGGCATTTCAAGCGGCAGGAAGGAGGGAGGACCAACGAGAGTGCCTCGTCTCTCTGCCCCATTCAAGGGGGCTTTCTGGAAGTCCTGGTCAACAACTGCTCTTCAGCCCCATTGGCCAGCACCCGTCACTTGGCCACCTGTAGCCTCAAGGTAGGCTGGCCCCCCAACCCTGGCCTCTTCTTCCCCGGCAGAGCCCCTCCTTCCTCGGAGAAAGGAGCTAAGGTAGAGCAGCTAGAGAAAATACAGGGCGCCCAGTGGGTATATCCCATGCAACATTTGGGATACACTTAGGTTAAACATTGTTTATTGCTTACCTGAAATTCGAATTTAACTGGGCATCCTTCCCGCTCCCCCTCCCTGCCCCGCCCAAATCTGGCAACCCTCATCTAAGGTCAAACTCATCTTTGGGCTGGTGAGGGCTCTGGCCTTACCTTCAGAGCCAAGATACATGCACTTTAACCGAAGGCTCTGGAAGGAGCGTTACAGGGAGCCTGCCAGGGGGAGGGGCAGCGGGCCTTCAGGTAGGTCTGCCTTTGGCAGTGGCTATCTAGCTGTTGGAGGAGCCCAGGGTCCCCCAGGAAGGTTTCCCTTGGAGGAGTGAGACAAAGCAGCAGGGAGGAGGAAGGGCGTGCAGGTGGAGGGCGTGAGGACAAAGGTGAGTGCCCCTGAGCAGGAAGCGCTGAAAGAGAGAAGGAGGGCCGCCGTGGGGCTGGGCAGGGTGCCAGCCTGCGAGACTCCAGAGCCGCCCACTTCCCGGGGTGCACTTTTCCAGCCCTCGCTTGTGAGGCAGCGGTGCCATTATTGGGAGGGGGGAAGCAGCTAACCAGATAGGACAGCAAACTGGGGATTTATGTGGTGTGGGAACAGCTCGGGTTTCCCTCACTGTTTATCCAGCAGTATTTTTTAAAACAGAAATCAGCACGCGGGTAACCCCAGCTGTGAGTTGTTGGCTCTGGCTGTGAGGGCTGCGTGGGTGGGGGGGTCCCCTCCACAGTGCTCTGCTCTGCATGGGCCTGGAGGTTGCTGAAGGAATGTGCCTCTCCCCAGCCAGGGTCCAGGTGGGAAGGTGGCTCTGGCCAGGTCCCTGACGGCTCTCCGTTCCCTGGGATGAAGGCCGGCATCCCTGGGGCAGCTGAGACGGGTCAAGGGCCTTACGGATCACGTGGTCTAAGGGTCACGAACCCACGTGGGGCCAGGCAAGTAAACACAGGCTAGGGAAGCCAGCCAAGGGGGGAGGGAGAGGGGTGCAATGAGAGATGGAGGGGCCACCGCAGCTCACTGGCACTGCCAATTTTGCCCGGCAAGAACGTAGTCCTATTTTTGCCATTAAAAAAAAAAAGAGCCATGATTCTCGATTTTTACAGGTAATCTCTCAATTTTTAAATGTTGCTATTGACTTTCAAACCCTACTGGTCAATTAAGAAAGGCCTTTGGGCACGATTTAGCTCTCGAACTGCCAGGCTCTGGTCTTCTCAAAGTTGGCCTGCTCCCCATTTTACAGATGATAAAGCTGAGGTCCAGGGCTGAACCAGTTGCCGTTGGGAAAACTGTGGGTCCAGGAAACCTGTCCAGTGCTCTTTGCTGGCCGAGCCCGCAGTCTTCCCAAGCAGTTCTCAAGTGCTTCCTGAACACCCCTCATCTGTATAGACATGCCATTTACAAACACACCCATAACCTACTTGATTCTGGCAATGACGATGAGGGAGCAGGTCTGGCATTAATTCCATTTTTTACGGATGAGGAAACCGAGGCTAGAGAACCTAGGGGGCTGGCAGAGTCATCCTGTCAGGAAGGAACCAGAGTTTCCAATTCCAGATCTACAATTTTTCAGCCCCAAACCCTGTCATCCTTGGGGGATACGGCCTGAGCTGGATAATAAACTCCTCCTACAAGGAACAGAAAATGGATGGGGTACTTGGGTAAACGGAATATTCTTCGTAACTTGAAGTTAATTGAAAATCCATAGGTTATCAATTTTCCAAGCAAGAGAATAGAAGGTATTTCAAAGAGCAATTATACGAGGCATGGTTTAATCTTTCTTTGATGATTCTGACGGAATGTAATGCCTCAGGGCATCGTTATGAACACCAATAATTACTGTGTAGGGCTGGGAGACAAGCTCTCATCCACCCCCCCTGGCTGTTTGGGGCGGAGAGCACGGAGAGCACATGTCTGTTTTACGCGGCTGGCTCCGTCTTTGTTTGTTTCAGGGCAAGCGCCGAGTCCCAGCCCGGATCTTGCCAACCTTCCTCTTCTTCTCCTGTACAACGGGGCTAATGCTGACTTCCTCCTGTACTCACCGTACAAGCTTCTACCTAACAAAGGGGCTCTGATCTCTCGCAGCAGAGTGGGAAGGAGCTTCCCATCATAGTGTGTACTAGCTTTATTTTACTGTGGAGGAGGCTGAGGCCCAGAGAAGTGAGGGTCTTGTCCAAGGTCACTGCTAGAATGTCGGTTTTCGACTTCCTAGACTTTCCCGAATAGCACGCCGAGGCCGAAGAGACCTATGGGAACGGAAAGATTAACATGGTGACAGATGCAAACAGAGATGCCTGGGAGCTCTCTGGCCACAGAGAGGCGAAGGTCAGAGCGCCCCAGACCTCAGGAGAGGGGCTGCTCTAGTCCAGAGAGGAGGCGAACCCACCATGAGGTTTATGGTTTCATGAATGTCAGAGCATTTTAAAATGTGGTAATTTCGACTGTGCAGCCTCCCAGGGCCTCTCTTCTTTTAATTGAAGAAATAAACAATGCCCCCTAAGGCACACTCGGCCGCGGAGAAAGGCAGGTGCAATGTCGCCAAGGAGGGCAGCAGCCTGGCAGGACTCTAGTCACGGAGGAGGAAATAGAGAGCAAGCTGGCTTTGCCTGAGCCCCAGGACAGGCAGGTCACAAGGGGTACGCCACACACCTAAGCACGTGTACACACGCAAACACCTCCTGCCTGGGTCCTGAGAGTCCCTATATAGAGCCCAGATAATCGGGCCACATGTCACACAAAATCCGAATACAGAAAGGCTCAGGGCACCAGCGCCCGCATGTGTATCCGTGAGTCCAGGACAGATGCTCTGGGAGATGGTACTAAGTGTACTTGCTCACCCTGATGGCAGCGCCCCTGTCATCTGGGCAGAAAGACCCCTGCAGGGGCTGGGACACACACACACACACACACACACAGACGTGCATACACCGATGCACGTCCTCAGCCTTGGCTTAGTCTGAGTGCCCACATGAGGTTACGTTTTCCAGCAGCAACAGTATTTGTTCGCTTAACTCACATCACAGCTCCCACATTTGGTGCCCAGTCAATGTCCCACTTCTTGGACCTTTGAAGCTTCTCACACCCTGATCCAAGGGTCTTGCCTTACAGCCTCTGGAAGAGCCTTCACCTACGCTGCGAGGAAGAGGAAGAAAAACTGGTTCCAGGGTTTAAGGCTGAAACATTGTAGCGCTAGGAGCAAAACGATGAGCCCTGGGGCGCCACCTGGTGGGCTGAAGCAGAATGGCAGCACACTCTGCAATGGGCCCAGGCCTAAGCTTCTGCCTCTTCCAGAGCGTGAGGACCTGCTCCTGACCCTAGATGGTGCGGAAAGGACGGGGTGTCAAGCTTCTATGGCCCTTGTGGCCTCAGCTGCATGAAGACCTGGAGGGCGGGGAGAGAGTTACCTGCAGGTTCCCGAACCCCTCCCCTCCAACACAGCCTCAGACTTCTGTCTGCCCCCATTTCTCTTTTCTGGATTTTAAATGGAAGACATGTGAAAGTCCGTGGGCTGGACTGGCTGTCCTCACTACAGGCCTTTGATCTTCCCCTGCCAGTGAGACCCAGTGGCACAGCTGGAAGGCAGATGCTAGCAGAACCTGCCTTTGCCCTGTTCATGCCCATGCAGGCCCAGGAAATCACCTGCAACAGCACCTACGGTAAGCAGGCATCTCTAGTGTGGAAAAAGGAATTCCTGTCCCACTAAATTCAAGGACCAGGTTTGAGAATTAAACATGATGATGTATTTTTCTGTTTTAAAATGCTGCGATGTGACCAAAGGAGCTTGGGGGTAATCTCTGCTTTCTTAGGTAGACCATCAAAGGGTGGCCACATCTTCCCCCTGAATCTTGTGGTGTGACTCTTGGGCTGGAGGAAGTCTTCCCTGGGTACAGGGTTGGCTTGGCCAAGGAGCCCCTGATCCATGCGAACTGTTTGAGATTCTCTGACTCCTCCTTCCTTGGTTCCACAGCCCCTCACTGAGAGCCTTCCTCCCTGAAGGCAGGGGATGAATGAGCAGTCGTGTGGCCTGCATGGGGTGTGGGGTCAGGGCCCTCCTGGAGGGCTGTCGGGATGGGTGTAGCATGATCCGATCTCCATGTTGGAAAAATCTGGTAGAAACAAGAATGTTTCCATGCATCAGGGTGTAGAAGTTTCAGGGCTACTAAACTCAGAGTCTGAAAGGCTCCAGTGACTACTTTCCCTGGGCAGCGCTGGCCTCGGAAGGTCCAGGGAGGGTGGGGCTGGAGCAGGGCCAGGAAGGAGGGGTAGGACCCGGGAGGCCCAGAGGAGGGAGGAAAGTGTGTGAGCTCTAGGCGGTAGGGGTGTGTCAGGAGGGATGGGAAAGAACAAAGCAAGAATGCGCACGGGGCAGCCTAAAGTCAGGCAGTGCGGAACAGGAACAAAACCGGAAGGGAAGTTCAGGGTCCCTGAGAGCCAGAGTGCAGGATGGAGAATTTGGAGAAGGAGTCTGGAGGGCAATGGAAGGGGCTGAGGGGGTGGGGAGGGTGGGGGGTGAGTGTTTGCACCGGGCACTGGGCTGCCCCAGAGTGGGCTAGGGGAGGCAGGACCTGCAGGGGGCAGGGGAAGAGGAGCCTCGCAGGCGAGGAGGCCGTTGGGGAATCAGGGCGAGAAATGGCCTGAGGTGGGCTGCTGTAGGTGGGGAGAAGAAGGCAGCGGGGGACTCGAGGGGCTCAGAGGACTCAGAGGAAGCTTGGAGCTCTCTGTCTTTTCATGCTCCCCGGAGAAATGGCTATGGGTTCAACAGGTCTCTAGGATTTGGCACTGGAATGTCCCTGGGCTGGCAGCAAGCTCCTTAAATTACCGCCAGACCTGGATTCTCTAGGTCTCGGGGTTTCATATAAATTCAGGGTGGGGGGGCACCTGTGTTTGGACCAGAGCAGTCCGGCCTGCCCTGAACGGAGTCACTGAAGAGCACATCGAACTTGCAGAGCAATCAAATCCAGGCAGAAGGAGGGGCCGGAGGGCAGAGTCACACACACACACACACACACACACACACACACACACACACCCGGCGCCCAGCGTGAGATGAAAGACTCACAAAGGCGCAGCTCGCAGTCCTCTGGCCACTAACACGTTTTGCTTTTCTTTTTTCACTATCTCCCTCCCTCCTTCTTTCTTGACTTGGGAATCAGCAAAGCAAGTTCAAAGCCTGGCTTTGCCCATCACCGGCTGTGTGACCAGGGTCAGGCCCTGCGACGGCATGGAGCCTCCTGACTTCCCGAGCCCCACTGGCTGGGGCTGGAGGACATGCCGAAGCCCACCTCGCTGCAGAATCCAAGAGAGCTGTGACCACGCTCCAGAGCTCTTTAGCTCCTTGCTTAGAAACCTTTCCTCGGGGCGCCTGGGAGGCTCAGTCGGTTACGCGTCTGTCTTCGGCTCAGGTCATGATCCCGGGGTCCTGGGACTGAGCCTGGGATGGAGCCTGGGATGGAGCCCCTTGTCCGCTCCTTGCTCAGCGGGGAGCCTGTTTCTCCCTCTCCCTCTGCTGCTCCCCCTGCTTGTGCTCTCTCTGTCAAATAAATAAAATCTTAAAAACAACAACAACAAAGCTTTTCTCCTCTGATAGAGACCTTGTCCCTTGTGCTTCTGTGCTCTTATCTCAGAGGGGTCAGTGAAAGGTCAAGGTGAAAGGTTATAATAGCCATGCTGCTCCTGGTACCCTGGGGTGAGCCAGAGTCCCAGGCAGCTCCCGCGGGAGGCTCAGAGGCCCTTTTGGTCCCTCAGTTACTCCCCGCAGACTTCTAGAGGGTAGATGTGTCCCTTCCCTTGGGTTTTCTGAAATGGCAGAGGACACCCCTTCCTCTCCTCCACACATACCGCCTGCAGGGACTCAGGGATCTGGGGCGCCCTAACCCTGCGATTTCAGCAGACGCCCCGAGAAATCCTCAGCCTTTCCATCACCGACCAGAATGGGAGCCAAGCCCGCGGAAAGGCACCTCCCTGTTGCTGCGGCTGGCGTGATATGCCCAGGGGCTGCAGGCGGTGCTGTCCAGGGCACGTCCAGTTTCTGGATGCAAGAGAAACGCCCTGGCAGGGTTTGGCCCCCACCTGCCCACAGACTGGCTCCAGGGTGGCCTCCGAGAGAGGAGCCCCGGGTCCCAGGGGTCCCGGCTCCAGGCAAAGCCGCCTTCAGGGCGAGTGGGCCGACTCCGGGCCCCACGGCCGCCCATAGCCCCTGATCGCCCTCTGTCGGCCGAGCCTAGACCTGCAGCCCCGCCGGGCCTTCGTCTGTGGGCAAACCTGGCAGGAACCAGGGAGCAGCACCTACACCACGGGAGTGAGGACCCACCTGGACCATGGTCCCCTTTTAGCTGCATGACCTGGGGCAAGCTAATTGGCCTCTCAGAGTCCTACCTGTGAAGTGGGAATAATAGTTGCACCTTTTCAGGGTCAGCCTGCAGATTACGTAGAACATATGGAAAGCACCTAGCACACAGTAGGTGATTTTTAATGGCAGTTATTATGAATAATGTCCATCTCACGTGTTGGCTGTGAAAGAGATGAGGTCCCGGAAGGCTCCTTATAAGGGTCAAATAATAAGCAAATGTTGATGTGAGGCAGCTGGTGTGTTACTAATACTTCCTGAGGCGGTAGGCCTTCTGGGGGCGGTCAGGAGTCATCCTCTGTTTTATTATGGACACTGGTCTGTTCTTGTGTTCTTTCTTTTATTTGCTGCTTATTCTGGGGGTGGTGGGGATTGGGAGGGCATGACTCCAACCGGATAGGGTACAAATCTCACCTCCCAGGGACGGTTTGAAGACCAGCCCCCCACCCCGGCCCCACTCCCCAGCTTTTAGGGAAGGGCAGTTATCTGCTGCTAATGATTTGCATTTGGCTTTTAATGGGTCATCAAGATATACTGAGAAAGACACAGAAATGTGGCTGGCCAGGAGGGTGTGGGGTGGGACCTCAGGGGAGAATAAGGGGAAGATGAGTAAGCAAGGGGGTGCTGGAACTGGGGACAGATGAGGTGAGATGGTTCACAAGGCCTCTTCCTGAGTCAGGAAGGGCTGGTGAGTGGACAGTGAGAAGGACCAGTGAGGACCCTTGGCCAGAGTCATCACCAGCCAGTGGTCACGGCCCTGCCATTGGATTATTGTCCAGTCCATGCCCAGGATAGGAAGTTGGCTCTCTCTCCACCCATTACCTGGACCCTTAGAGCCCTAAAGCAAGCTGCAGGTGTGGAGAGGAGGCCCCACACCTGTGCTTGGGATGAGGGCTCCGGGGACCAGGGGGGAACCCTCTTACGGGTCTTCTGGAGGGTCTTCCTCAAGGGCTGAGCCCCCTGGGGAGGAAAGCTCATGCCTTCATTGGCAATGCTCCAAAAGCAGTCCCACCCCAGGGAAGGGCTAGAGGGTGATGGGGGGCAGCTGGGTGAGGCTGATAGCATGAGGAGGGAAGAGAGGGGAGAAGAGAGGAGGAGGGTGGAGGGAGAAGGAGGGAGGGTGTTTATGTTCATCCTCAGAGAGTGTGGGGAGAGGCCAGGCCTATCTGCTGCACCTCCACCATTCGCTAGCTCTGTTGGGGTGGGCAGATGGCCCGGGCTTGGGCCACACCAGAGCAGCCTTCCCGCCCCTTCTCTGTGTTCCTCGGAGAATTGGCCCAGAGAGACTTTCCTTCAGAGAAGAAAATGGCTGGCTGGTGGGGAAAGACACTGCAGAGGGAAGGGAGCACAAGTCTGCTGCCCTGAGTATTAATATGATTTAGGAGAGACACAGGTCACCATCTCATGACTGAAAGCCATCCTGAAATGAAGGTTTGCAGCTATTTCTAGGCAGAACTGTATGATGAGATAAAATAGCTCAACTCCTGACCATTAAGTCATGAAGGCCATGGCCATCGTAAATCTCGGTCTCTGCAGCCCTCTCTGTCCTGCCTGGAAGCACAGCCCAGCCAGTGTCCGCTGCTTTGGAGGGACCCTTATCCATCCCAGCAGTGCCTCTGCGGACCGGGCAGACTTCAGTGGCGAGGATTCTAAGGGCCCCTGAAAGCCATCCTGCATACTCACTATTCTTTCCTGGATGATCTAGAAGTCTTCCAGTTTTGTACCAGCTCAAATCCTTCACAACTCACATCAGACAAGCTGGCCCTGCCACTTACATGTCCCATCACTTTGGGTAAGTAAGCTTCCTGAATCTTAGTTTCTTCGTATTAGAGCATGAGCAACAATAGCTCCCGGACAAGGTTGTTTGTGAGGGTGGAATGAAATAATCATAGAGCGCATCTTGCTACAAAACATGCCTTGTGTCCTTTTCTTACAAAGCCTGGCTCAAGTTCTGTCCCCTTTTCCTGTGCGTCCTTCCCCTATTGTCTCCCTGGCCAAGTCCTACCCATCCGAAAGGGCCTCCTCCCTCGGGGGGAGGGAGTTTTCCTGACTCACCCAAATACCACTGAGCTCCTGCTTCTTTCCATGATGGCATTTAAGACCCTTTGGTATGGTGGCCTTAAGACTTAGAGGCAAGGTGACTCGGAAGAATGAAATGACTGGGTTTGCTTTGTGTTTGAGGAGCTGGGAAAGGGAGATGGAGTTAGAGAAGGTAGTGGTTAGGGGCCATTTCAGACTGAGAAATTTGGGATTAGGGGAAATGCGATTATTGGAGCTGGGGATATAGCTCCTCTTCCTGGCTAGCCGACGGAGGAAGCTCCTGCCTGACAGACACCTCTAGACGCTGGGTCTGCAATTTCATTGATGGCCACCAGGTGTCAGTGGTGTCCCCAAGGCAGCTGCCTTGAGAGAGGGAGCCCAGGAAACAAGAAATCATTGCTTTCGGGGGGAAAAAAATCAGTGCTGGTCCAATCCCATATTAATATGGTTAGACCTGCAGTTCTCGCTTCTACGCCCTGACATACCTGTGATGATATTCACTGGCACCCTGCTGGGAGTAATAATAGTCCTATCTCATGGGGTCGTTGGAGGATTAAATGACGTAATACAAGGTCAAATGCTGAATCAGTGCCCGGCACGTGGCGAAGGCTACCTGTGCATTCATTAGCTCTTACTGTTATTAGAAAAGGCCCCAAACTACCCACTTATTGTTCACTTGCAACAGATGCTAGGTTCAGGGGACTGTTCTTTTTAAGATCAGACAGAAAGAGATGGGTCGGAAGGAGCTAGTCAAAACAGACCTCTCATCTAAGCAAACAGGGCTGGTGCCATGGGTGGGGACCTAGGCGGGCATACAGGCCCCGCCTTAGAAGGGTCTCACACTTAGTTTAATGCTCTGCTGTTGCCATCTTGATATTCTTTTTTTTTTTTTTTTTTTAAGATTTATTTGAGAGAGAGACAGTGCGTGTGTGCAGGGGGGGGGGACTGGAAGGGGGAGAGGGGAAGGAGACTCCCCACTGAACTCAGAGCCCAACACAGGGCGGGGCTCCATCTCACTACCCCAAAATCATGACCTGAGCAAAAACCAAGAGTCTGTTGCTGAACCGACTGAGCCATACAGGCGCCCTTTGATATTCAATCATGAAGAAGGGACCCTGCACTTTCATTTTGGACTTGGACCCGCAAATAATGTAGCAGCTCCTGTAAGCAGATTCCTCTGGATGCTGGAGGTCCCTTGCCTTCCTCCTCCTCTGCTCATGCCAGTTCCCTTCTGTCATCACAGGCAGGCCCCCCACGTGGGGGATTTGCCCCAGCCTTTTCTCCCCCCACCAGCATTTTAATTAAAAAGTTCAAGCATATAGCAATGTTGAAAGAATTTTAGAGTCAACACCATACACCTGCCACCTACCGTGAACCTACCATGAACATTTCCTGTACTTGCTTCATTGCATATCTATGGTCAGGCTTTGGCCACCTTATCGACGCTCACTGCAGACTGTTCTCAGGTTCTGGACTCTCATCTCTTGCTGATAGCTCTCCAGCTTCCAGCCTTGCTGTCTGGCCCAGGAAAGACCTCCTGGGCTCCAGGGTCAGATGGTGGCCTGCAGGAAGGGGCGCTGTGGATGAGGAAGGAAGGCGGCTGGAGGTTCTGGAGAAACTGCTGGGGAAAGGCGGGGGCCAAAAGTCCACCAACCCTGTGGAATGGAAGTGCAGAACAGATTAAGATAGTTCTAGAATAACAAGGAAGATGTCATTCTGGAGTTTGTGGACTGAGATTCCTGCTTGTGACCATAGTTCCTGTTAGTTCCTTATGTAGTTTCTGATGCCTCACATGGGGTTCCAAGCATTTCTCACAAATGTGGTCTGCTGGGCAGATCCCCATAGCCCTGTGAGGGGGGCAAGGAAGAGATTCTTCTCCCCACTTTGCAGTGAGGGAAGCTGAACCTCAGAGTTTCCTTCAGTGACCTGCCCAAAGTCCCAGGGCTCAAAGAGACAGACCTAGGAACCCGTGTAGGTCCTTGGACCCCCAAAACCCGCCTCTCTTTTGATCCCATGGGGGCAGGGCAACAGTGTCACATTCCCCTGGGTAATTTGAGAAAAACCAAACCACACCAAACCAAAAAAAAAAAAAAAAAACACAACCCTTTCCTTTTAGGAAAAAAGAGGGTATCTGCCCTGTGATTTACCTCTGAGAGTGTGGTTGATCA